TTTCCTATGTTGGGATTCCATCATGTTCCTCAGCTCTTCTTTAGATTTATTAATCATGTCTTGCACTAGGAGCACAATTTCTCCTGTTATCTGAGAAATTATTTCTGATTTCATTTTTTCCAGATTCCCCCCCGCTTTTGTTGCCAGTTCAGGGGGTCCAGGTGGTTGAGTATCAGAGTGTTCCATCTCATTTCCCTTTGGGGTTGCTGTAGGTGATCTGGAAGTCTGGTTTTGAGACTTATTTACATGTTTTCTGATTTCGACTGGGGTGGGCTGTTGGCGACTGCATGGATTATCTCCTCTGAGCTGGGAGAGGTGGGACAGGGGCCGGGAGCAGCGGTAGGGATGGTGGCCCAAACGCCCTTTCCTCTGGGCTGGGAGCAGCGGGAGGGATGGTGGCCAGGAAGCCTCTTCCTCTGGACCAGGAGCAATGAGATGGCAGCTCAGAATCCCCTACCTCTGGTCCAGGAGTGGTGGGACTCAGTACTGTGGTCTGGTGGTCCAGTGTCCTCTGCGTCTTTGTAGTGTGGAACCAGGTGGCTGTACAGAGGAGCGGAGTGGGGCGCATCCAGTGGATTGTTGCCAGGGCGTGGGCTGATTTGGCGTGTTCTGCATGACTCGTGACCTCTCACTATCATTTAATTTCCTTCCTTTTTGAAAAATTTTTTGGAAGCTTCTGGTTTTCATGAATGCATTGCAGATACCTGTTTTAAGAAAAAGGTGGATATTAGTTAGTACAGATGAGAAAATTCTTATGTCATTCATCCTTGTGTTTAGCTTCTCCCCTCCTGGAGGTATCATGCACCCTTCAAGCTAGGTTAGTGGTAATTTTTGAAGTTTAGTGTCACACACTGTTGTTGTTGCCTGTATTTTAAAGGTCATTCTTTAGCTTTGACTTTGTAGTAGTTGAAAGTGGAACTTTCACATGCTTTCTGAATAGTCTAGTGGCCCTTTCTGAGAAGAGCACTTGGAGGAACAATTTTCTAGAATCCATCATGTCTTCTCATATCTACTGAGTACTGTACTTATAGGAAAACTTCAGTAGTTTCTGAAAGAATCCCAGGTGTGTCATGTTCCATTTCCAATAAACAGGTCTGGCGGTCTCCAAGCCCCACCTGATCACCTGTCTGGAGCAAAGCGAGGAGCCCTGGAATGTGGAGACACAAGGGACAGCAGCCACGCATCCAGGTATGTAGGGATGAATGGCACAGAGCCCACAGGTGAGAGATCCCAGGTCATGACTGAAACTAATGCTCTTTATGTTTATTAGCATACATTTGCTGTGTATAGTGATTACATTTGTTATGGGGAGTTGTTACATGCACATAAGATGTCTTATTTCTTTTTACTCCCTTTTGCCCTTCCTCTCCCTTCTTGCTCCCCCCAGCTCTAGATCCTCTTCCCATTTGCAAAAAATCTATTGTCCTATTTCCTCTTGTGTATCTTTAATTTTGTGCTTTAAATTATTTCTCTTTTGGGTTTCTCATATAAGAGAAACTATGTAATTAAGCTGTGTGTCTGACATATTTTACTTAACATAATAGGCTGAAGGTACATCCATTTTCTGGCTGAGTACTACTCCATTGTGTATAAATATCACATTTATCCATTCATCTGATGATGGGCGTGTAGGCTGCTCCTAAGATTTAACTATTAAGAGTTGTACTACTATAAACATGTCTATGTATGGATCACTGTGTATATGATGTCTTTAACTCTTTCAGGAAGGTACATAAAGGCGAATAGCTTGGTGAAACAGGATTTCTATTTTTCCTTTTTCTCAGGAATCTCTGTACTGATTTGCATAGTGGTTGTATTAGTTTACACTTCCACCAACAATGTAGAAGTTGTTCCTTTCTCTCCAAAGCATTTGTTATTTTTTAATTTCTTGACCATTGATTTCTTAACCATTTTTTTTGGTACCAGGGATCAAACTCGGGACCTTGCTCTTGTGAGGCAGGCGCTGGAACCACTGAGCTAAATCTCCGGCCCCCATTCTGTTTTTAATAAGATGAAATCTCTGTGTTTTAATTTGCATTTCTCCAATGGGCAGAGATATTGGATATTTTTTCATTTATTTATTGACCATTTGTACCTCATCTTCTGAGAAGTGTCTGTTCATTTCAGTTGCACAGTTTTGTGATTCAGTCTTTTATGTGGGGTGTCTTAAGTTTTTTGAGATTTTTATATGTTTGAGATATTAGTCTTCTGAATGAGAAATTGCTGGCAATTTTTTTTTTTTTGCATTCTGAACTTTGTCTCTTCACTTTGTTGGTTATTTCTTTTGTTGATTTTTTTCCTGTTTGATCTGTGTATTTGTGATTGTGTGGTGTTGGGTTGATGTTTATCTAATCTTTTATGTCCAGTAGTGATTGTTTTATGAGGTTGGGTGCATTGTTACTTGGTGTATATATAGTGGAACCTCAGTTTATGAACTTAATTTGTTTTAGGATTTTGAGGAAGATGGATGCATTTGTGTTTGTGTAGGGAAGATGGCTGTGGTTGTGTTTGTCACCTGATGCAGAGTTGATGAACAGAAGGCAAATTTTGCCAAACACTTTTGTTTCTAAACCAAATTGTTTGCAAACAGAAATGTTCATGAACTGAGGTATTACTGTTTATTTAAAATTGTTATCTCTTCCTTTTGAATTGTTTCCTTAACCAATACATAGTGATCTTCTTTGCGTCTTCTGATCATTTTTGGCTTGAAGTCCACTTTGTTTTTAAAAAATTTTTATTTTCATTAGTACATGTTTGCAGTGCATGTATACAATGATTACGTTCATTGTGGGGAATTGGCACATGTATATAACACATTTCAATTCTTTTTTTTCCTCTCTTCCCCTCTACCCCGCCCCCCTTTGGAAATCTACTTTGTCTTAAAATAACATAGCTACTCTTGCTTGCTTGCTTTTGGGGTCTCATTGCATGGAATATTGGTTTTCTTCCTTTGATTTTTAGTTTATGTATTTCTTTTCAGATTAAATGCAGTTATTATATGCAGCATACCATTGAAGTTCTTTTTCTTTTTGATCGAGTCCACTGATCTGTGTCTTTGGACTGGGAGTTGAGACTATTTATGTTGAGAGTTACCTTGTCGTTACATTATTTATCTGTTGCTGATTTCCTTATTTTTTCTTCAGTTTAACTGCTCACTCTGCTCTATATATTCATTCCATTAAAGTTGAATGTTGTTGGCTTTTTTAGCTTTGTCTAGAGTATTCTTTGAAAATTTTTGGAGTGCTCATTTGGAGGTCATAATTTTGTTATTATGATCTTTATCATGGAAAGTCCTTATTTCTCTATCAGTTTTGAAAGATAGTTTTGCAGGAAATATTTGTCTGGTTGAATGTTGTTTTCTTTTAGGCCTTGAAGATTTTTTTTTCTCTCTTAACCTTTTCATGTTTCTGTTGAGAAGTCTACTGTAATTCCTAGTGGGCTTGCCTTCATATGTGATTTGTTTCTTTTCTATGACAGATTTTAAGATTTTTGTGCTTGTGTTGGACTTCTGAGATTTTGACTATGCTGTACTGTAGGGAGATTATTTTCTGGTCATGGCTGTTTGGGGTACTGTATGGCTCACTTACCTATATTTGAATTCTTTTCCCATGCTTGAAAATTTTTCTCAATTTCTGTAAACAGATTTTTTTAATGCCATTTGTGTCATCTTCTAATTTTTCTCTGATTCCAGTGAGTCATAGGGTAGTCTTTGTGTCATTAGGCAGCTATTAGATCCATTTCCCATGATCTTTTGTGTTTCACAGATGTCTCTGAGTAAATGGTCACCTGCATCAGCCCTGTCTTGTCATTCGGACAATCTGTTCTCACACTAGTCACTGTATCAATAGAATTTTTATCTCCTGGATTTCTGCTGGGTACCTTTTCATGGATTACAGTTCTTTGCTAGGCTATTCATGTTTTGAATCATTTTGTTAGCTCCTAGTTTTTTATTTGTGTCTTCTTTAAATTTACTGATCATTTTTTTATTAAGTCCATTATCTGTTTAGTTATATCATCTTTGAGCTCACCAAGACCTTATTAATTTTTTTTTCTTTCATCACTTTTTATAATTCAAACGTTTGGTTATTTCCGCCCATCAATGCCCCTTGGGTCAACTTTGGGGGAGTTGATAGTTTTTTAGGCATAATTTTTTTTGCCTAGTTTTCTTATTTTCTACCTTGTTGTGCTCAAGGTTGAGGATTAGTTAGAGCTGAATAACTTTGTTGCCTGTATGAAGATTTCTTTAAATAGTATCTGCTTTCCAGAGATGTAATCTTGGATTTGTTTGTATTTTGGAATTTAGATCTACTCATTTTAATGGGGCTGGACCTGATTGCTGTGTTGCAGGGAGGGCATCCCTACCAGTTACATCACACATCAATCATCTACATTCAGACTTGGTTTAACAACTTCAGTCTTTTGTCAGTGCCCCATACTGCCACTAACAGACTGATATGTGGAGGAAGAAGGGAAAGGAAAAGGAAGAGGAAAAAGAAGTGGGTCAGTCAGTGAGAAGAGAAGGAGATAGAAAAAATACCAACAGATGAAAAACAGACGAGAGTGGAGTGTTGGAATTACTTTTATAGCTGGGGCAAGGGCTGGTACTGGTAGGTTTAAGAGAATTTTTGTGGGAGCAGGAGATGAAATGCAGAGGGAAGGAAGTGTAACTGGAGATTTAGGAAAGCTGTGAGGATGGTTGGAGCCTGTTAGTTAGTTAGTAGTTAGCTCTGTCTGGAGCCTCTATGCCCAGTTTTGGTGAGGTTGCTCTGACCTTCCCCTGGAAGGTGCTGTTGGACTGGAGGCATGCGTTAGTTCTTATTCCCTGTGCACATATGCAGACACCTGCCTGTATGGCATATGTCAGATGAAAGGAGAGAGGGAGAGAGGGGCAATAAAAGGGATAAGAAAGAGAGGAAGAGAGTAGAAAACAAAAAAAGAAAAGAAAGGAAACCACCACAAAAATCCCCTTGCAGTTACAAAACTACAAAATTAGAGCATCCCCTGTCCTGTTTCCTCACTGTCTGAGTTTGATTGAGGTCTCCCAGCGTGTTTCCTGGCCCCTCATCGTTGGTCACTTGTCTGCTGTGAGCCAGGCAGTGACAATCTAGGTGGCCCTCCTAGCCCTCCCAGGTGCAGCTGTGCTCCGGGCAGGGCTAACTGCAGGTCTTTGCCTCCGGCCCTAGATTTTACCAACTTTGTTAATTTGGGAAGGGGAGGGTGGGGTGTAACTGGGCCAGCAGCCAGTTCTCTGCCAGCTTCTGCCAGGGCCCTTTCTGTCTCCACAGCAGACCCCCGGCTGCCTGTGTGATTTCCCTCCGTGAGCTTTGTGCTTAGCACATCGCTGGACGCCCTCTTGCCAGGCAGCCACCCCGTCCCTCCTCCCTATCTGCTCTCTGCGGTCCTCATTTGGTTCCTCAGAGCATCACTGTCTGCCCCGTGCACTCAGCAGCCCCTGGGAGGACTGCTGGGGGCCCCTGTGTGGCATCCAGGGCTGGGCTCCCAGCTGCACGCAGTGGGGACTGTGGCACAGCACCCAGTGTCTGCGGGCAGTGTGCAGGGACTGGGTTGGGGTCTGTCTGGTCTGCTTTCTCCCTAGGTTCCTTTTCTCCCTGCCACTCGCAGATGCTGCTCTGATCGCTCCTCACCCCCTCTGGTTTTCTCAGAGCTCAGCTGAGGACAGGACAGGGTGCTGGTTTTAACCTTCCCAAGGGCCTGCTGCGGTTTTCTCTTTCTTACACTGCTCACTGGCTGTCAGTGTCTCTGGCGCACTGGCTTTTGAGTATCTCATTTGCTGTGTTCTCTTCCAGTAGAGCAAGGAGAAGGGTCAGGAGCCTATTCCAGTGGCCTGGATGCCCCTGAAGTGCCAGCTGCTTCCCGCAGGGCACCCAGGCCTCTCCCACGGTGGCGTTTCTACTGGACCTGGGTGTGAGGGTGCTGCGGGCTAGGTGCAGTCTGGCTTCCGTGCCTAGGCCCGATGCTGGACTTCGATCCACTGAGGCCCCTTTCCATTTGCCATCCCATGTCTGGTTTTCTCCACCATCCCCGCCTTGGCATGTGCTTGTCTCCAGTGCCCTTATCTGACCCTCTCTCCCTCGCTACTATTGTGATGTTGGCCACTGCGGATCTGAACCCAGGTTCTAAAATGTGGATTGAGCTCTGTTGCGTGGAAATGCTTTTCAGAAGCTCAGTGTGTTTCTTCTGCTGTCACAGATAGACGTCTCCTGTGCCGTGTTCATCAGAGTCGTAAATCCTCCAAGGCTTCTCCTGCCCCCTGGGATCTCCCAGGACTCTCATAGTGAAGGGCGGAGACCTCCCCTTCCCTGTGAGATCTGTGGGATCTGACTGTGCTCCATGCGTGTGGTGGCCCCACCAAGTCTGTGCACAGTTCCTCTACTGTAATGTTCCCATGGTGTCATTGACAGGTTGTTCTAATGTCATTTACTTATTTACTCATTAAAATGGCCTCATCACAACACTTTATGAATTATAATGGGTGTTCTGTAAAGTTTTCCTGCATACACTGAATGTCAGTGATTCAAAAGCCCCACTCTTCATGAGTATATAGTTACTGCTGAAAAGTTCCATTATCTAGAATAATTTTTTGAAATAGTACATCAGTGTTTATAAAGGATTTCTCTCGCTCTCCCTCTGAGTCTCTCTCTCTCTCTTTTGCAGTAGGTCTTTTCAGATAGGTTAGTCATGTTTTTAGTTTTTACGCTATTTATGTTATGATTGAATAAAAAGTTTGTCATTACATAACATTCTTCTTTATCTGATATGACAGTTTTTTTTTTATACTTAGGTTGTATTTCATCTTGTAGTGAGTTTTTGGCTTAAAAATATGTTTGTAACATTGTAACAGCATTCCTGCTCACTTTTGGTCACTGTTCCATATAACTTAGTCATTTACTTTCATTCTTTTTGGGTTAGTTTTAAGAAGAATCTCTAGTAGACAACATTGGAAAAGTTGGGATTTTTTTAGCTTCATTCTTGTTATCCAATTTATTGCTTTGATTAGGAGTTTATCTCCATTTGTATTTTAAAAAATTACTGAAAAGGAAGAAATTAGTATTTCCCTTTGTTAATTGCTTTTTGTATTTCCTGCTTCTTATTAATTTTTGTTTCCTTGACTGCCATAGTGATGTCCTTTGATTTCTGTCCTATTTCCTTTTTTTAATCTTACAGAGATATTTATTATGTTATCACCATGGGAGTTATGTAAAGGCACTGTAAACTTATCAGTTACTTTAAACCAGTAACTGACTTCAATTTTATATTAAAACTCTGTACATCTCTGAATGTTATGTGATTCATGCCACAACCACCTTCTCATTGTATATCTGCTAACGTGTCTATGATTTTTATACTTTTGTCTTTCAAATTGCATAGAAACTTAAATGTGTCTTAGGCAGCTTTGTTACAGTCAGGGAAAATTATTTATGTGAGTTTGCTGGATGCGTGTTCTGGATTGGTAATTTTTATTTGCTCAGCTTTCTTCCTAACGCTTTTCTGTATTTCAGAGTTTCTCCTGAAAAATCAACTGATAATCGTACAGAGCACCTTTGTAGATAACACCTTTTACATTTCTAGCCTCAGGATTCTTATTCTGTGACTTGTGATACTTTGGTTTTATTTTTTTTTCTTTACACCTTTGTATGACTATTATGATTTGAAATGTTGTGATCAAAAATATTTAATGCTTTTGTCAGTTTTAATTTTTTTTAGTACATGTTCCACTTCATAATGATTACATTCCTTGTGGGGCACTGGTCCACGTACATAACACGTAGTAATTCTCTTTTCATCCCCTTTCCCGCTCCTCCAAACCCCTCCTTCTGTCTCTCGATCCCTTTCCCGTTTGAAAAAGACTTTGATTTTAATGTGCCTTGTTTTGAACCTCTTTACATTCTTCCTAGAGATAATTGAGCTTCTTGAATTTTGATGTCTTTTTTCCTCAATTATTTTTGAGGATTTCTTGGCATTATTTCTAATTCCCTTTCTTTTTTGTCTTTATTGTTTTTGTCTTTGCTAATGTTCTCATTTTCCTGATTCAGTTATCTGTATTATTTGTTTATTTCATTAGGGACCTTCAATGATTGTTTTGAATTCTTTGGATAACTCACAAATCTTTTACTCTGTCAGGATCTAGTGTTTTATTTTGTAGCTTTAATTGGGCCATATTCTCATCATTCTTTGTTGTGTTGTGCTATCCTTTGTTGAGATTTGTTCAGTTCACAATGATCTTGCTGTAGATTAGTACATTTATTATGGAAAACAGTATGAAAGCTGTTCAGAATATTAGAAATAGGGATGGGGGTGTAGTTCAGTTCTGGAACACTTGCCTAGCAAACATGAGGCTCTGATTTTCATCTCTAGTGTCATAAAAAGTAAGAAATAAAAATAGAATAGTCATAGCTCCAGCCATTCCACTCAGGAATCTATAGTCAATGGAAATTGTATCCATATTTTGAAGAAATATGTCTACTGACATGTTTGGTGCATTATTATTCACAGTGGGCAAAATATGGAATCAATCTAATTCTCATCAGTAGTTGATGAGTAAAAAACATGTGGTATGACTATCTTGCCACTTGATTCTATATGGGCAAACATGTAGGAGTTTACAGTAAGTGAAATAAGCCACACAGTCACTTTATCATCTCATTAGTATGTGGAATCTACAGTAGTTGACGTTGGACACAGAAAGAGTAAAGTGGTGGTTACTAGGGTATGTGGTTGCTAGGTTTTGGCTTGGGATCATGTTGATCAAAAGCAACAAAATTTTAGTTAACTAGGCCAAAAACATTCATGAGATACTCTGTATAACATAGGGATTATAGTTAATATACTGTGTTCTTGAATTTTCAAAAAAAAAAGGTTTGCCCATATTTCATCTTAAGACTTCATAGTCTGTCCTATTCCAGTGGACTGTATAGGTTACTATGGTAATCACTTTGGTAGTATAATCGTTGCTTTCCTTTGATCTCAGGTGTAAAGTCTCATTCAAAATATACTGAACACCAGAGAATTTATGCTGGAAAGAAACTCCACAAGTGTAAAGAATGTGGCAAAGCCTTTAGTAAGCGCTCCAACCTTAGTAAACACCACCGAGTTCACACTGGTGAGAAACCCTACCAGTGTAAAGAATGTGGCCGAGCTTTTAACATGTCCTCCAACCTTACTCAACACCAGCGCATTCACACTGGAGAGAAACCCTACCAGTGTAAAGAATGTGGCCGAGCCTTCAGAATGTCCTCCAACCTTACTCGACATCAGAAGATTCACACCGGAGAGAAACGCTACCAGTGTAAAGAATGTGACAAGACCTTTGATGGACCCTGCAGGCTTGCTCAGCACCAGAGAGTTCATGCTGGTGAGAAACTCTACAAGTGTGAAGCATGCGGCAAAGGCTTTGATCGAAGTTCCAGGCTTGCTCAGCACCAGAGAGTTCATAGTGATGAGAAACCCTACAAATGTGAACAGTGTGGCAAAGCCTTCGATCAGTGCCTCCGATTCATTCATCACCTGAGAGTTCACACTGGTGAGAAAGCCTACAGATGTGAGGAATGTGGCAAAACCTTTGACCGCATTTCCAGACTTATCCGTCACCTCAGGTTTCGTACTGCTGAGAAGCCCTACAAGTGTAAAGAATGCGGCAAAACCTATGATAAAAACTGCAGACTTACTCAGCACCAGAGAGTTCATAATATTGAGAAACCCTACAAATGTCAAGACTGCGGCAAAGCCTTCAATCAAAGTTCCAGGTTTATTCAACACCAGAGAGTTCACACTGGTGAGGGCTTCTACAAATGTGAACAGTGTGACAAAGCCTTTGGACAGATCTCCAGATTTATTCAACACCAAAGAATTCACACTGATGAAAAACCCTACAAATGTGAAGAATGTGGCAAAGCCTTTGGCCGCAGCTCCAGACTTAGTCAGCACCAGAAAATTCATACTGGTGAGAAACCCTACAAATGTAAAGAATGTGGCAGAGGCTTCAATCAGAATTTAAGGTTTATTCAACACCAGAGAGTTCATATTGGTGAGAACCCCTACAAATGTGAAGAATGTGGTAAATCCTTCGATCGAAGCTCCAGACTAATCCAGCACCAGAGAATTCACACTAGAGAGAACCTCACAAGTGTGAAGATTGTGGCTCAGCCTTTAGTCAGTACTCACAGAACACACACCAGAGAGAACCCTACTAATGTAATGAATGTGGAAAAGCCTTTAATGGGGCTTGTGCCTTACTGAACACGAGATAGTTCATACGAGAGAGAAACCCTACAAATGTAAGAAGTAAGGCAAAGCTTTTTCCATAATTCAAGTTTTAGACGTCACAGAATTCTTAATACAGTACATAAAAATCCCACTTGTAAAAAGAATGTGGCAAAGACTAATCAGATTTTACACCTTATTCAGTCAGACAGTTGATACGGAAATGAAACCATACAAATGTAAATAAAGCAAAGTATTTAATATTTGGTCCTTAGTCAACATCAGAGAATTCATATCAGATAGAAACCTTTTATCTGCAGTAACTGAGAAGACACTTATCAAAAATATAAACCTCTCAACAGTTTAATATTTATATTAGAAAAAACATGCAAATGTAGAGTAGCAAAGCTTTTATTCATACATATGACCATAATGCAAGAGGATTACTGGAGAGAAATCACACAAATATGAAAAATATGGCACAGACTAAGTTGTTTAAAACTTATTGGATAGTTTTAATTGGTGTGGTAGAAAAAGTAACCCTCACAGATGGTAAATAGTATAGATCACTTATCTCTGAAGGGACAGAAATTTATGACAAATCCATGTTCACTAGCCTGTTTTCAAAATTGGATAAAGAACAGTTCTCATGTAGATCATTGTATCAGAAGAACAGCACTGTTCCCTGACAGTTTAAATTCATTTTTCTTAACATACATTGGCTTTTGAAATACTTCATTGAGATTATGTGTAAACTTTACTCTTACTGTTTTTTAAAATTTTTATTTGTACGTTTTAAAAATATTTTTATTTTCTAGTACCAGGTATCAAACTCAGGACCTTGCGGTTGCCAGGTAGGTGAGGCACCACTGAGCTACATCCCTGGCTCTATTTGTTCATTTTTTGAGACAGGGTCTCACTATGTAAATTCAGGCCTTGAACTCACTGTGTAGCCCAGGCTGGCCTTGAACTCGTGGTAATTCTCCCGCCTCAGCCTCCTGAGTGCTGGGATTATAGGCATGTGCCACCATGCCTGGCACTTTACTCTTTTAATAAGTTAAAGGTTTTTAGTATGTGAAAACTGCAATATTGAATGACATGTCATTCTACAGAAAGTAAAATATTTTATCCCACTCAAGGTTGCAAATGACAGTATGAGTATACTATTGGGTAAAAAGCATGACGACATCTCTAGTAATTCTTTTCAGAATATTATTAAACTAATAATTTGGAGAACAATATTCTCATACTTCATATATCTAATAATTTTTGTCACTAATGGGAAATTATGATGGTTTTAGAAGTATAATAATAAGCTCCAGCTTTCTAAATCCTGAATTGCTGAGTATGCATATTGTCCTATAAATGTTTTCCATGTATCACCACATTAGGCCTACAAAGCATGCACAGACTTGGGTATTCATTTGTATTAATTCAGATATACAAATAACACAATTCAGTGACTTCAGGCATAAGAGAACTGTGTTGTGTATATGTGAATTTCTGTATATTGAGAAAAAAAGGGAAATACTGAAAAGCAAGATCTATCAACAAAGTTGATACTTTATTGGCAAACTAGAAATTTCAGATATTCTGAATGAAAAACTTTTGTCTACACTGAACTCATTTCTCCAGAATATCATGGTTCCTGTTTTAAAATCTTTCTACGCCAACTTTACCTTTTTTTTTAAACTTGCCTGTTACTCATATAAGACATTGTGGTTTACTTCACCAAAGTTTATGAGGTATAATATATTTCCCCTGTGCTGGAACTTTAACAATGGTTTTTTATCATATTTAATGGTGTTCAGAAATTAATTTGAAAGTATAATGCCACAGTGACCATATTAAGATATATTTCTTTAATTGGTACCTTTTATTATTTCCTTCTATATGGGAGATGACTTTTGAGACTTTTACTTTATTAGTGCATGATAATATTTCATGATGATAGGAAGTATTTTGGGAAGTTGATACAATTAATATATCTTAATCAGTTTTCTTCCCATTACCTACTCTCCTTTTCTTCCTCTCCCGTTTTTTCTCTTTCCTATCTCTAAAAGTCTGCCTTCTGGTTTTCTGTTTTCTCTTTTTATTATGTATTAATTTATGTATTTTGGGAGTTTATCCTATGAGAGGAAATATATGATATTTACCTTTCTGAGTCTGGCTGATTTCACTTTTGATGATTTCTATTTTCATACATTTTCTTACAAATCATATGATTTCATTTTTTCGACTGAATATTCTTTTTCTTTCTCTCTCTATATATTCTCACAACTTTTATTAATACATTTGTTGGTGAACATCTACGTTGTTTCCAGAGCTCAGGTATGGTAAATTCCACTGCTGCAAACGTGTATGCAATTACTGTATGCATGCTGTGTTTAAGACTGTTGGGGATATACCCAGGAGTGGTACAGATTGCTCAACTGGTATTTCTTGTTCAGCCTTTTAATAAGTCTCCATAATGTCATTTCCGTAGTGGTTGTCCTAGTTTACATTCCCAGCAGGAATGTAGGAGGATGCCTCCTCCCCCTAATCCCCACCAACATTCATTGTTTCATTACTTTTAATGATAGAATTTTTTTTTTTTTTTTATACCGGGGATTGAACTCGGGACCTTGTGCCTGTGAGGCAGGCGCTGGAACTGCCGAGCTAAATCCCCGGCCGTAATGGTAGAAATTCTGACTTGGTGAGAAGTAATCCCAGTGTAGGTCAAGGTTAGGGTTAGCGGTTAGGGGTTAGGAATATAATTTAGGTTATTAGTTAGAATTAGGGATTACTGGTTATGATTAGGGGTTAGGCTTACAGGTTAGGACTTGAGTCAGGATTAGGTTTGTGGGTCAGGGTCCAGGCCAGAGTCAAGATCTGGTTTAGGTTTTAGGGGTGGGGTTAATGTTAGGGTTAGGAGTCAGGGCTAGGGTCAGTTTTAGGGTCAGGATCAGATCAGTTACGACCAAAGTTGAGTGTAGGGTTGGGAGTAAGGATTTGAGGTTAGGTTTGAGTTTATAGGAGTAGGGTTATGATTGGGGTTTGGGTTGGGCTCATGGATAGAGTCAGGTTTGGGGTAGGAGTAGAATTAGGGGTTAGGGCTATTTTTACATTTAGGGTCACAGTCAGGATCTGAGTCCAAGTCTGGTTTAGGATTTAGGGATAGAGTTATGGTTAGTGTCAGGGTTAGGGTTAGAATCAGGGTCAAGGTCTGGGTCTGGATTCCATTTAGGGTTTAGGATTAAGATTGAGGTTATTGTTAGGAATTAGGGGTAGGGTCAAGGCCAGGGTTGGGTTAAGTTCACTGTCAGGGAAGGGTTTGGAGGTTAGGGTTAGGGTTTAGGTGTAGGGGTGTGGGGTTAGGAGTAGAGGTAGGGTTAAGGTTGTTAGGGGTAGGACTTGGGATAGGGTATAGATAGGGTTTAGGGTTAGGGGCAGAAGACAGGGTTGGAGATAGACATGGGTTAGGGTCAGAGGTAGGGTAGGATTAGGACTGGACTAGGGTTAGGGCTAGCTGTTAGGGTTACAGTAGGCTTACAGTTAAAGTTAGAATGTAGGTTTTAGGATAGGGTTGGGTTAGGATATAGGGTTAGGGATTAGAGTTCAGGATTGGGGATTTCTTTGGGATTGTGTGCTTGGGATGAAGGCCATGCTGTGTGGGTACCACACACACTGGTTTTGAAGTGACAGCAAGTGGTGGGGGCAGCTTGCCCATCAGATCCTCCTGGTGCTGAGGCTCTGGCCAGTGTCCCAACTCCCACCTCCTGGAAACCTACCCTACAGCTGGAGTGAAGGTTGAAGAAAACAAGAAATTTCTGTCCCCTCCATTCTCGTGCTCCTCAGGCAAATAGTAATTGAGTGCCACTGCATGTTGCTTAGTTTACCCAACTCCCAGTTGCTGTCACCACTGTCCCTGGACAGTGATGAGGCCGCTGTGCCTTTTGGTCCACAGTACAGGGCTGCATGGTGTCACTTGGCCCCATCTGTGATGGAAATGTGTGGTGTCAATAGTCCTGGAGAGGTGTGTGCCAGCCCATCTCTGCTGTGCCTGGAGATGAACTGTTGTGCCTAGACAGTGCTGGTTTAATTATTGCCATGGTGGATATTATGACCATGTTGTTTAAGATAATGAGAGTATGATTATGATATGGATGCCAGCATGGCGCAGGCACCACTGAGGTCAAAGCAACTGCTTCACATTAATGACAGATGGGAAATTCTGTACAACTAGATTTGGGAAACAGTGCTCTGCACAACATGCAAGATGAACTTGGGTTTGGAAGATCATGGGGACAGCGCAGCTTGCAAGGCTGTTTGGATTGGACTTTGGAATCAAGCAGAGGTTTCTTCATCTTTCACAATAACACCATTGCTCAGCTGACAGCAGCACTGGACATTACACTACAAAAGCACACATATTATTTATGCCTCCCTTGATTATTTCATTTCCTGACTCTGGGAGAAAAAGAAAAAAGGAAATTCTCACCCATGCCCTGGCTCCTCACAGGCCAAAGCTGATTCTGTCACAGGACATAGAACCTTGCTCTACAGTATATCCAGCAATGGGTCAAATCGGTGACAAGAAGAGCAAGATCTTCCTGATTTGTACGAACATTTAATGAAAGCTTGGGAAATATAAAACAGTTCTTGATATGCTGCTTAAATTTGACTTAGACCTTGCTCATTTATCTGTACATGTGGAAGACAGTGCAAATTCTGGAAAGGTCTATTCAGACTATACACTTCTTACAAAGAAAATGAAAACATGACACGTGATTGTAACAGGTACTTAAAGGCTACTTTCACTAAGAGTACTGACTCAGTCCGGGGATTTAGCTCAGTGGTTCTGCCACCTGCCTCACAAGCCCAAAGTCCCGAGTTCGATCCCCAGTACAAAAAAAAAGTACTTACTCTTCACTTGGGCCTGCAGATGTCCAATGGTAACCAAAAGAGGATGAAAACTTGGCATCTTTGGCTTCATATTGGATCTGTTTCCTTTTGCTGGATAAAACTTTAGATCAGAATCTTGCTCAGCTCTGGAAGCTGAGAGCACTGAGGTTGTCTTAGCCTCAAAATTTACTTGATCACCCTCCTCCTCCTTCAAGGTAGAAGACACCAAGGTAGAAAACACCAAAATATTTTCAAGATTGATAGGGACATCATAGTCAATAGATTGTCATCTCTAAGCTTTTGCACCTTCCTGCTCCATACTGCATTAACAATGCCTAGAAGTCTCCAGGTGTTAGAAATTAGCAAGTCTGAGAGATAAAGTGTCAGTGGTCTCTCTAGAGGGAGACTGGAGACCCCGGAGAGCACTGACCTTTAAAGAAAAAAGGAGACAGCCTGGGGGACGAACAGCAGTTTATTCTCCTGACACTGTTTGACAATCACAAAGGAAAGAAGTAAGGCTTTTATACATGTAGGAAAACAGCTTAGTCATTCTGGCTATTGTCTTTTTGGTTTTAACATCTGGTGATAACAAGTGACTCTAAGTGACTCATAAAAGCTACAGGCGAATTTACATGTCCCTTCTTTCCATTCACTGATCTGTACATCTAAGACTGCACCGCAGCCCTCTTCTTACCAGACGGTATCAAGAAAGCAGGGCGACCTCAGCAGAAGTCAAGCCCACCAGCCCACCGCAAACATCACAGATGTACATAGTGAATTGTATCTCACCACCCGTAGAGTCACTGGGTCATGGTCCTCTGACCCCAGACAATGGTTACTAAGAAAACTAGGAAAACCTGTTTTTCTCCTGTAAAACCTTTACAACATCTCTTAAAGTTTCCTGGAATTCTTTTAACAAACAGACTTGTGGAAATTCCCAGAAACAACTTCTTAATTTTCTCAGTTAACAAACTTCTTGTGATCATATTCTTACAACTAGATAACTAAATTCTACAATTTCCCACAATAAAGGAATAAGACCAACATGCAGGCCAGACATGGTGGTGCATGTCTGTAATACCAGCACTTGAGATGCAGAGGCAGGAGGATTGCCATGAGTTCCAGGACTATATAGCAAGACCCTGTCTTAAAAAAAAAAACACCAAAAATTTATAGACCAGACATCAGCAAACCACAACCCATAGGCCACATCTGACTTGACATCTATTTTTGTAAACAAATTTTTTAAAAAAATTGCAGTGCCAGTTATATGTAAACGAAGATCTCAGTGTATAATGGATTTATAGTCATGTGTTAGGTCTCAGATCCAAAAAAAGGTTTCTACATGGCACCACGAAATCTCAGGTCAGGAACTGTACACATCTGAACTTCATGGTTGGCCAAAACTCAGGGTCATTTATTCTTAAACGGGACATTCAGCATTCCTGGTTGCCATGGCCTCCCCCACAGAACTTTTAAAAAAGGAATAAAGTAACACTTTAAGATCTGCCCGTACTGGTGTAAGACCTTAACCCAGGGACATTCCCCAGGGCAGGATCAGTTCAAAAGTACCCAATTGATGTGCCCTGATGCCAAACAGACTCTGCCAAGGTTTTACCAGACCTCAAACGAGCTTATGTGAAGGTCTTTTCCTTATCTGATTGACATTTGAAAGGACTCAGAAGAGAGTTGAATGGGCCTGAAAAGGGAAAACACCCTAATAAAAATCACAAAATGAATCTTGCTCGGGAGAGCTGATTTCTTGGCTCTGCCTTCTGGGCGTATTTTACCACATACAGTTTCTTCATGCGAGAAATTCTGCTTTCGCTTGCAGAGTGCTCTTCTGTGTCTTAACTGAATTCTTTCACCAAGAGCACAAGGAACAGCTACACAGTCATTGCCCTAAATCTGAAGGAGGACCCGGTAGTCCTTAGTAAGCCTGTTGTGCCCCTAGAACCTCTTCTCCCCATCTTATATTAAGTTCCAGGAAGAATGAGTCCCATAGGCACTATCAGGATTCACAGAGCTAGACCTGGATGATCACCCACCAGGCCACAGTTTGAGCAAGACTGCAGCGCTGCGCAAGCATCTGCCTCCCTTTCTGTTCCTTCCCTTTCTAACCCAACACTGTGGTTAGTGCCTCGGAGACAGGGCTTGAGACTCTGCCCCCATTTCTTCCTAGGATGGCCACACTGCATCGGTTCATTTCCCATGTTCACCACTTGTCTCCTGTTTGGTCTGTGGAGTGAGCAGATGACATGGTCTATTGGGCCCCTCCCTCTTATTGATGGTCCCACTATGGTGACACCTGCCATGATGTGATGTAGCCAGGGACCCCTGCCCAGAAGCTGGACAAGATGAGATGACTAATGTAGGGCTTTCAACCTCCAGGACAGTGAGTTAAACTCTTCTTTTTACAAATGCACAGCTTCTATTATTTTGTTATATCAATGGGAAACAGATGAATACAGTATGATTACATTTATGATTTATCATAGTATTCACATTCTCAAAATGACAAGAACATAGAAATGGGGAGACAGGTGGTTGCCAGAGGTGCTGGCTGAGGCAGGAATGTTGTGAATGTAGCCATGAAGAGGGTAACAGAACCCCAATTGTGGCATTGTATGAAATGAGGGAAAGGGAATATGAGGTCCCTCTCTCTCTCTCTCCCTCTCTCTGACTTACAGTTACCATCAAATAAAAATAGAATGAAAAAATGAAATCGAGGACCTTGAGAACAACCCCTTGTAAAGAGATTAGAACAGGATCAGAAGAAGCTGAAATGAAACCACCATAGTATACAGAGAAAAATGATGGAGAGTCATGTCCCAAGGTCCAAAAGAAGATTGCTTCATAAAGAAAGGGTGGTAAATAGTTTGCATTTGATGAAAAATGATGTGTAGGCCCCAAAAGAAGCCAAGAGGTTTTGACAATTGGAAGTTGATGGTAATGGGCTCCTGGGGTTGGAGGGAGGAGCTGACATGCCCTCTCCCATCATGCCCGCCCTTCTCTTCCTGGTCCTGACACCGCCTCTGCCCAAAAAGCTGCCCAGCTACCAGCAGCCCTCCAATGTCACCACAGCAACTGCACCATACAACTACTCTTACATCTGAAATATGTCACTACTAGGGGCATGGAGTAGGAAAATCTTGCTTGCTTCACCACTGTACAGAAAAATGTATGGCTCATCGCCCTCACAGTTTCGTGTTGAATTTGGTGCAAGAATTATTGAAGGCAGTGGCCAGAAACATTGCAGATGAAAGATGCAGCAGGACAGGAGTGGTTTGGAGCTATTCCACGAAGGCCCTGCAGAGGGGCCGCAGGTGCGTATGGGTGGTGTGGAGTGTCACTAGGACATGGCCATTCAAGCAGCTGGTTGACAGATAAGAGGAGTCTCACCAATCCAAAAACTAACAGTTCCAGGAAGTAAAGCAGATTCAGAGGGACAGAGTGATTTTACATGTGAAAAAGCCAAACAGTTCACTGAAGAAAATGGCTTATCATTCCTTCAAGCAAGTACAAGACTGGGACAGAACGCAGAGGATGCTTTCCTGGAGGCTGCCAAGAAAATCCACCAGAATGTCCAGGATAGAAGCCTGGATCCAAATGCTGCTGAGTCTGAGTACAACACAAACCCTCAGCCCTGCAGGGCGGTGGCTCACAAGGGAGCCCCAGCTCCAGAGAGCAGGCTGTGGCTCCAAGGGGCCTCTTTCACCCCTGTCTGTTGGAAGCAGTACTTTTTACTGCTTTGTTGTCTTCTGTACATCTCATTCAGTTTAATTTAAAAAGAAAGAAAAAATAACTCTTGTAAAAGAAGTTTAACACAATGCATATTGGAGGGTGAGCAATATTCCAACTGCCTAGAAAGGGGGATGGTGAGGGCTAAAAAAAAACTAAAATAGAGACTTGAGTAATCTCAAAGTACATGAGGGCTAGGAGGTCAGTGCCTCAGAGTGGGCAAAGACAAAGACACTCTGAGCTAGCCATTATTTATTGGGTATGCAATAATTGGAGTATCGGTGATTTAGGAGGCCTTGGTGATCATGTGTTGATGCTGAGGATCTCATATTGATGAGGGCAGTAAGGAAAGCATTCTCACAACACTAGGTGGGACAAGATAGCAGGCTAATGAAGAACTTGACCTTCCCCCAGTGAGACCTTTCTCTTTTTTTTATTACTACTCAGTTCTCAAAGAACCAGCACGTTTTCAGCTGATGTACTCTTACCCTCGAGCATCACAGTATCACAGTACCATTGAGGCCTCAACTTGTGACCTGAGGCAAAGATGGGAGTTATTTTTCTGCCACAGCTGGCTTGTGGGCAAGGTGACATTGGCCTTCAGATAGCTATAGTCATACTTTAATTATGAAATGAATTTTCCCCAAAATTTATGTAGAATGACTCTTGACAATACTAAACTGCTCAACAACTACATGTGATCTGGCTATCAAAGGCAAGTAGAACATAAATTTCTACTGCATGGTAAATCTAGATGTTTTTCCCCCTTGATTGTCCTTGTGATAGTTACATCACCAGTATATGAGTTCTCCCTTGTGTTGGTCTGAGGGCCTATTTTATATCATGGTGGCATAAATTGTTTTGTAAAAGGAAAGTGTTTCTAATGATGTTTCAGTGTTTGTGCTGATAAAATGTAAGTTATTACTTTGCACTAGGTGCTTTGGCCACTGGAAAAATATGCATTGCAAGAGAAACAATCTTCCTTAAACAACAAATATTTGTTTTACTAAGTTCTTCATTTCTGTTGTGTAGGGAGCAGGGAAAAGGGATGTTACTAGAACCCCTGCAGTAAGTGCTAGTCTCCTGTGAGCCACGGCAACATGAGGCAAATTAACTTATTATACAGGAAAGGTAGAAAAAATAAGACTTTGAGAAGATGAGTTTTGGGCCTGATCAGTGTGCTGCTCTGGGCAGCAACCATACCTTTGTTCAGTACATGGGGAGAAACAAATGTTAACAAGTGACTCAGACAGAGACTTCAGTACATTGGGAGAAACGTAACAGATGACACAGGGCAGCAGAAATCCTAAAACAATGAGGAACTATGCAGATGAAGATTTTGTTCCTCCCAGGATGTCTCCAGCTGGTGTAATCCTGCCCTGGAGCATCACAGCATCATGGGACCATTGAGGTCTTAGCTGTGATCAGGGGCCAAAATGGAGTTATGTCCCGACATGCCATAGCTGGCCTAATCAAATGATTTTTCCCCAAAATTATGTAGAATTGCTCCCAACACTGTTGCTTTCTCCTTGAGAGCATGGTTCAGTGGGTGGGAACTGAGAAGTTATTTGAAGAGTAGGATAGGTAAACCTGAGTGTACCTCATAAAGTACACTCAGTTCAACTCCTGTGTTTACACATTGAAAAAACCCTAACAATGCTAAAGTAAAATTACATCTTCTGGGTTATAAACATGTGGTAGTTCCAGAGTGTTGTATAGTCAAAGTAAAATAAAAATGAAAACTGGAATGTTCAGAAAATAGGATTTTGTTTGTGAACTCACCTTTACTTTTGTCTTTGTTTAACTTAAAAAAAAAATAAGATTCCTGGAAAAGATTGTTATATTCTGTAAAGACTTACATTGATCCACTTAGCTTATACTGTTGCATCAGTAAGGCTTTGCCCAAATATGTGTATATAGTTACAAAGCAAAACAAAAACACCACCTGTTGGGATATAAGGTAGCAATCACAAACTGAAGACTTTGTCTTATTTAGGTGCAATACCCTGGTTCCCAAAGTTAGTTACACTGGGTCTTACTGTTTTCATTACAGAAGGATTACTCAGACTGGATTGAATGGAACAAAATGCTATTAATCTAAGTATTTATAAATAAAGAACATATATCTAGATTTTTTAAAAAGATCTTCACAAGAGCCAAGGAAACCAGGTGAGAGATCCCAGTACCTAGTTATTGAATAGTAATATGTAGTGAGGATTGTAGGAAAGACAGGTTTACATTACCAATATTGCTATCCCCCAATCTTTTGCAGCAGAGTATGGAAAGGTGATCAAATGCCATCCACTTGGAAGAAAGAGGAAAAGAAGCGGATTTTCCTTGGACTCCAGCATTGATCCCATGAAGGAAAATCAGCACCAGGTAAACTTCCTTGCACTCTGACTGCAGGTCAGTATCCTGTTCCGGGTCTACAGAGCTGTACCACACTTGGGAGGAGCTTGTGAGACAACTCAGCTTCTGGCTCCCATCAGCACTGCAACTGCAAGTGTCTTGCATTTCAGTATAACCTCACCGACAGGCAGTTGTCAGTGGCTGCAGACATGTAGCATCCCAAGAGCTGTGAAAGCCTCAGTAACCATTAGCATTGGAGACAGCACTGCACCAGCACCAACCTGGGAGGTATAGGACACCAGTTTATATCCATGTCCACCGTGGTGGACCTGGGCTCATGGCTTCCTCTAACGCTGCCATGGCCATGGGCTGTAAGAATGGTCTGGAAAACGTCTCCCAAATCTGTAGTGAAGCTTCCTGCTAAAAGCCATTCCATGAGCAAGCCATGCTGTAAAGACCTGAATAGGGACCTATTCCTTCAAACTACAGACTTTGACACATGACCAGGAAGGCCAAGAATACTCAGGTGACAAGATGTAATGAAATACCAAAACCAGGTGCCAATAACTGGCCCTAAAGCAACTATGAATCTATTGACAGAAATTTGATATAACTGTTTTAAGAAAGTGATCCCATGCTCAAAAAATATAAACAGTATAAATAAATGAGAAAAGAAAATATGACCAGAGCAAAAAATTTAACATAGAGATGTAGGTGAGTTTTAAACATCAAAAAGAATAGAACTCGTGTATCAGAATGAGAGTCAGACAGCATTCACAGGATGGGTCAGGATATTCATCCAAACCAACAGGTGTTCAGCTCTATGAGTAGATAGGAAAACCATAGAAAGTTTCTGGATTGCAATATGAGTGACCAAGCAACTTGGTGAAACCTAGGAATTCCAGCCTTTGGATACATATGTAAACCAGTGCTAACGGCACACAGCTGATTGGGAATGGGAACCTCCTTTCTGGGGGATGGGAAGGGAAAACCTCAGCACACTCTAGTGAGGGCTGAGTTTGTAACCAGACAGGAATAAAGCACTAGCAGAAATGTGACCTGGGTTCAGCCTGGTGACCAAGGGTAGGAGAGGTAATTCCTGGCACTTAGTGTTGGGGTGAGGAGCCAGCTCATAAGCACCCCATCTACCTGCTTCAGTAGAACAAGCAGAGGGTGGGTTAGGCAGAACTGGAAAGGGGAGCCACTCTGAGGAACTTTCTCTGACTTGGTAGGTGTGGGAGAACAGAAACTCCCTCTTTTCTGTCTGTGGCACAGCTGCTTCTCTCCAGGGAGGCACCATCCCTTATAGTTACCTCGGGCCCAGGGGAATGGTGATTGTGACACAGAAAAACTAAAGTCATGGGGCAGGGTGAAATACATCAGCAACTAGATCAGGGGAAGCCAGACTCCAGGCTCGGAAAGTCTCAGATGACAGCCAGAAGGTCTGAAAACCAGCTGACTGTGATCATGTTCAGGCAGACAGATTAAAATGCAGCCCTTTCCTCTGCCACCATAAGCAGGAAGCAACAAACAGGACAGTTTGATAATTGTGAGAGCAAAGAACTCAGCCACAGGAGGTTTTGCCAGAGGAGGGAGGAAGTCTCATCTGGGAGCACTGCTGTGGACAATAGCAGAAGGCTGGTCACTGACAGCTTCTTGGCCCATCACAGACCCTGGGCACCCAACTGCCTCTACTCTGCTGAGACCCTGCATTCAGCGTAAATGCAACAGTAGACAGACACTGGCCAGCCATGGCTCCAAGAGTAGAGAAAAGAGAAGTAATCCCAGTGGAATAATAGCAGAAATAAGCAGCAAAAGAAGTCATACAAACTATACAAACACATGAAGACTGAAAAAGTACACTTTTAGAAGATCAGTAGGTCACTGGAAAAATCAGGTGGGAAATTGAACAATTTTCAAGATCAAATGATAATGGAAACCAAGCACATTGAAATCTATGGGACATAATGAAAGCAGTACTAAGAGGCAAGTTTATAGCTATGAGTGCCAACATTTGGAAAACACAGTGACCCCAAAGAAATAGCAAAATGATGTGTCTCAAGGTCCTACACACACAAGAACAAGCAAAACCCCAAACCAGTGAAATGAAAAAGGTAGGAAAGATCGGAGCTGATGGTAATTATCAAGACTATGAAAACAACATGAAGGATGGATGACTCAAAGATTGATTTTTTGAAAACATAAGCCGGATAATAAACAGAGAAATTTATGAAAAGAAGGATCAAGGAGGCCCTGATTAGTAAAGTAGAGGTGACAAAGATGAAACCTCAAGAGACACCACTGATATTCACAAGATTACTAGGAACTATTTTGTAAAAATATATTCTAATAAATTGGTAAATCTAGAAGAAATGAATAAATTCCTAGGCATGTATGACCTATCTGCAGAAAAGCTGAAGCAAGAAGTTATAAAAATTGAAACAGAACAATAAAAAGCTATGAGAGTGAAGTAGTAAAAGCTATTCTAACAACAACAAAAAAATCTTAAGATGATGAATTTCTTGCTGAATTTTACCAGATCCTTAAAGATCCATTTTACATGAAATAAAAGGTAGAAATGTTAGGCTTCCAAATTCATTCTATGAAGCCAGAATTAACCTAATATGAAAACCAGATAAGAACTCAAGACCAATATTCATGATGCACATGAACACAAAAATCTTCAATAAGATTCTTGCAAATGAATCTCCACGACACATTGAAGAGATTGTATAAGCATTACTAAGTTGCTTTCACCCCATGAATGCAAAGGTGGTTCAACATACATAAATCAATGAATGCCATACTGTGTATGTAGAGCAAAGGATAAAAATCACACGAATACCTCAATAGATGCAGAAAAAGCATATGACAAAATTCAACATCCCTTCATGAGAAGTACTATGAAAAAATAAGCATAGAGATATGTTACCTTAAATTGATAACAACCATGTTTGAGAAACCCACAGCCAAAAACCACACTAAACAGGGAAAACCTGAAAACTTTTCCTATAAAATAAGGAATGAGACAAGGGTACCTATTCTCACCACTACTATTTTTAAACATCACTCAGACCAATTAGGGAAGAGAAGGAAATAAAAGGGATACAAATGTTGTACCAAGCGAGCTGGTATATCACCAAACACTGGGACAAACGACAAAGTTAAAACTGAAAGGAGTTTATTCACATGTGTGGACTCCACCCTCTAGTAGAGTGAAGCAAGTTTACAGCAGCAGAGCAAGTGGTTACAAAAATGGGAATTTCAGCACTCTGTAAGAGGAGGGGTACGAGGGGAGTTCATCTACAGGCCAAGATGGCGTTTCTTAGGTTCACTTTGGTCTCACATTCCCCACTGGTTTTTGCACAAAATCAAACCCTTGATTTAGCCTGATCATCTTTGTCTTTTGATATGGCCTCATATATTTGATTTAATAACATGATTTTTACATTGTCTATCTGTCTGGACACATATCTGGTTATGACCTTTAGTATATAGCGACACAACAACAAACACACAACCACAATTATGACTAAACAAAACTCAGACAGATTGATTGTGTCAGCTGAATCCAAACATTACCAACAAGGTCTAATTGTCTTTGGGATAATATTGTCAATGTTTTAGAAAATAATGACTTAAAAATAATAATCATAACATGTTGAATTACGGGTCAACATAGCAAACATTATTTGTCCCTTTTTAGTCTTAGCTTTTTGTCGCCTGGTTGACTGACGATCCTCCATTTGTCCTCCAGGGTGTCTTTAGGAGCCGCTTTAAGGTGACAGTGATGTATCCACCTTGTCTTTCCTGTGACCTTTATGGCAGATGGCATCAAGATCACCTGGAAAGGCCCTTTTTAATGTGGCTCTAGAGCCTTAGATGAATGTCTTTTTTTCCCCTCCCTTCACCCCCTCCACCCTTCCCTATTTACAAAGACTTTATTTCCATTTTTTCCATTTCTCATCATTTTTCCTTTCCCTTCT